ATTCTTGGTGGTCCTAAACCCACGGCAGACTTCAGGGGCCATCCAGGGGAAGTCCTCGTGTAGGCAATCAGCGCTGACTTTACAAGACTTACCGATCTCACAGGCCAGACCGAGGTCAATGAGGCTGACCTCTGGCCGGGATGAGGGCCCTTGGATCATTATGTTATCCTCCTTGATGTCATTGTGTGCTAGACCTTTCGTGTTCATCTCAAGGATTTTCTCACCAAGGAGGAGCCCCAGTTGTATAAGGTCATATTGGCAGATCAGGTTATCTTCAGAGAGAAGGTGGTTGAGTGTGAGCTTACCCCTGAAGGACTGGAGGATCGCTGGAGGTTTTGGACAGTACCCAAGTACCTTAGGAATCCCCCCAGCACCATCGAGGGCATACATCTTGGCAGCCTCATCCTTGAAGAATTTTTTGGCTGATGGTGACACTGCCTTTTTCAAAACAGCTACATCATTTCCCCACTTGACAAGGTAAGCAATTGCGTGCGCTCCCTCCCCAAGAATTTCCGCTCCGTCTTGTAGGAGGTCAGTCACGTCCTCAGGGAGAAGCTCACACACCCAATCTTGGAAGTTTTCTGTTTTTCGGCAAGCCATTTTTAATTATCTGTATCAACTCAGCCTTCTCCAGGACATCAAATTATTATTTGGGGGTTAGATGCGTTTTTGAGGCGCTGAAGTGATAGTTGTTGTGCAATGAAGTGAAGAGGTGCCTGATAATGTAGTAAGAGGTGCCTCATAGTGTAGTGAAGATGTGTAGTGAAGATGTGCCTCATAGTGTAGTGAAGTAGGTGTAGTGAAGATGTGCCTGATAGTGTAGTGAAGTAGTTGTAGTGAAGATGTGCCTGATAGTGTAGTGAAGTAGTTGTAGTGAAGATGTGCCTGATAGTGTAGTGAAGTAGTTGTAGTGAAGATGTGCCTGATAGTGTAGTGAAGTAGTTGTAGTGAAGATGTGCCTGATAGTGTAGTGAAGTAGTTGTAGTGAAGATGTGCCTGATAGTGTAGTGAAGTAGTTGTAGTGAAGATGTGCCTGATAGTGTAGTGAAGTAGTTGTAGTGAAGATGTGCCTGATAGTGTAGTGAAGTAGTTGTAGTGAAGATGTGCCTGATAATGTAGTGAAGTAGTTGTAGTGAAGATGTGCTTGATAGTGTAGTGAGTAATGCCTGATGGTGTGGTGAAGTAGTTGTGTGAGATGTATACCAGTGGTGTAGTGAAGTAGTTACCAAGTAGAATCATAGCGATGGTGTAATTGAAGTGGTTGTAGTGAGATGTACTCATAGATTATAGTGAAGATAGCCTAATAGTGTTTTTTTTTTTTTTTACGGGGATTAAGCCACACGGACAGGTCACTGGCCCCTTATCAGGGCCTGGGGGCGAAAATGTAATAATAATAATAATAATAATAATAATAATAACAATAATAAATAATAGTCATAATAATTCATAATAAATAAAATTTATGATAAAACAAACAATATAAAATAATAAAATAATGATGATAATAATACAGTAACTGTAATAATAATAATATTAATAATAAAGAACTATAAATACAAAAATGAATAAAAAAGATCAAAAGTGAGAAACAATATATGTATGTTGTATTGTCAAAGTAAGAGAAACAATTGAGACTCTGCAATTGTGTGAAAATGAAGCAGAAAGTCAGATCATCAACCTAGGACTTGGTCACATATGGCAGCAGGGTCTACCATTAGACAACACATTATGCTGCCAATATCTTCCCAGGCGGTAGTACCTCCCTGTTTGGTAACTGCCTACTACCTACTAGGGTGTGTCAATTTAGGGGGTGAACTGGCTAAATTGAAAATCGAGTAATTTGGTAGCAATTTATTGTAGTCTTTAAGCATGCAAAACAATATTCTGGCATAAATTTTTTTTATAATAAGTCCTACCTACATCAAATAGATTTTTAAATGTACATATTTGTGAATTTATAACATAACCAGCGTTTGCACACATGTTACTGTTTCAAGTTTCAAATTATTATATCTTATTATCCGTAGTCTATTTGAAAGTAACCAATGCCTTCATACTCTCTTTGCTTTGGTTTCTTGTCATCAGTAGTCTGCTTGCTATTTGTGCTTTGATGTAACCTTCTCGCCTCTCGTGGCTGTAAACATGGCCCGCTGCTTCTGTGACCATTTTCACACATCTCTCCACACTTTGAGTGTGGGAAGGCCACTTCGGCACCTGCATTGGAGTCTCTTTAAGGTTTCTCAATTCTTGGCTAATTAGACTTGTTGTCAATGGTGGCTCTAAGACTTCCAAACTCAAGTCAACCAATTCTGACAATTTGGTGGCATTGACGTTTATTGGGGGAACTTTTCTTGAATGAAACGAACAGTCTCCCAACTGGTCGTCATCTATTAGCGTTCCTCTAATCTTTAGAATGACTTCTACAGCCTCGGTTCGGAGATTGGTACATTGACTGCAAAGCATTGCTTGCAAAACTGCTTCTGATCGAGCATACCAAGCGGACCTTCTTGCCACAGGTAACACGATGTCCCTCACTACCTTTCTCTGTGTTCTTACTAGCTGCAATTGAAACAAAAGGTGATTGGGCCCATCCACCCACATAGGATTAAGTTTCACACTAAACCACTGGGGAAGATAAACTCCAATAATAAATTCAACAATTAACCTCAAATTCTTCAGCACTTTGCCCTTCAATTCGTGTTTGGAAATCCAAATCCTGCAGAAACGAAGAGCTGTAGTTAACCAACGGCTGTGACTGACAGGTCCAATCTCCAAGAGAGCCAATGACTGAGGCACTTCTCCTGATCTTATTGCTTGGGCAATACGATAAGCATAGGATTGATCTGTGCTGAGATCTTTGATGACTCCTTCAGACAACGCCGGAAGGGGAGGGCCAACTTCGACCTTTTGAAAGGTTGTATTTATTTCTAGTTGTGTTGCTTCATCCAGCATGATGCCAAGGGGACCTGACCACTTGTTGTTGCTCTTTGTAGGACCATCAAGTTCCTGGATGAGATGACGAAGAGGTAGCTCGCCTGTATGTAAATCACATATAATCCAAACAAGTCTTCTTCCTAGTTTTTTCTCTAAATGCGTCATTACACCCCCCTGCCATCCGGTGTTCACTGCAGTTGAATCTCCACCAACAGCCTGCAGTGAACTGCCAAGTCCTCTCTCCTGAACCCAACATAAAATATGATCAGCAATGACCTCTGCATGTTTCTTCCCTTCTACTTCAGTTTCGGGAGCAAAGTGAAACAAAAAACCGACCACCAGGCTCAGAACAGACAGAGTAGTGTTCTTCTTTGATGAGACCTGGAAACTTTCTGTTCACTCCCTCTACTTCTAGCAAAACTTTTGTGTCATCTATTCTTCCATCAAACAAAAGACAGGAGAGCCCTCCCTCGCTTAAATCTTTTTCATGCTGATCAGATATTTCCTTCATTATTTTTCTTGTGCTCTTCTAATTTTATTATGATCTATCACCAAAGATACATCCTCTCGGCTGATGAGGCCTGCATCTATCCAAGCGGCAGTTGCAATTTCTGCAGCCTCACGAAGTCCAGCATGGTGGCGAATACTAGCTAAAGCAATGTTTGAAATATTTCTTGTGTTGTATTTCATTTTCTTTGGAAAAGGTTCAGATGGCTCTTTGGAACTATCATCTGATGTTGCTTCCTGTTCATCAGAAGAACTATCAAAGAAGTGATAAACATCTTGACACAGCTCTTCCTCTCTTTGGATGGCTTCTTCACTCTTCATTTCTTCTTTTGTTCCCTCTCTCGGATTTGTTCTCTCTTCTTGGCATTAGCAATCTGCTTCTTTGTTTCTGAATAATCTATTGAACCCATTTGCATACTTCCTTGGCCTTCTGCCTTTGTCCTCTGTGCCTTTATAAATTCAAGCTCTAAAACAGGGATCTTCTTTTCACGAGGACAACCACAATCAATGTTGGAATTATTTTCTCTCTTACCTGAGTGAGAACAGTTGGATTCAGAACATAATTGTATGGAGCACTTGCAGGTCAAAATGTCAAACAGAGTATCAAGTGTGTGCAGAAATTCATTTTTCCTGGCCAAGTTTCCTTTACCAAGTGATGTTTCAACTGCTTTGTGCCATAATTTCGTTAGTTTTAGCTCAATAGTTCGACACTGATTAATCACAGGTGGTTTGAATAGTGCATTAGCTTTTGTCCATTGATGCAGAAGAGGGACTATCATGTCATTTATGAGTTCTTTATCTGTATAGTTCCTTCTGTCCTTTGCATTTTTTTCTCGAAGGAGTAACCCTAATCTTAGCATGTTTCTCACTGTTGGAAGTTCTGTTACAGGAAGCTCCTTCCCTTTACCAACTAGCAGGCTCAAGTGGGTTGACAACTGACTTCTTGTCTTCAATTTTGACATCTTCACACTATCTGACAAATAGAAAAATATTTCAATGTTTCATAATTCAATTGTTGTTTCAAAAAATATCAATTTGTTTATCAAAATGCTGTAACAGAAATAACATAATAATTTCTTAGAACATAATGTTTTATACAATGATATAAGTAACTGCGACAATCAATATGCCCTACTTACAATAATTAAAATGTAGAATTCGTCTGGTAGAGTAGGTGCAAGTGCAATGAGAGCAAACCACCGTCTATGATATCTAGAAGGAGAGTGAGCCGGGCGCCTTATCCTCACACTTGGTACAAGTCAAAACAAGAATTAAACTGTCCCACACGGAGAGCCTGTTCATGTTCATGTTCTGACATGCATGTTGTACACAAGCTATAGAACCATAAAATACTCCATAATCCATATGCTTACATGAGATTAGTTAATATCAAGTGAATAATTCTAATCAAGTCTCATTAATTTGTTGAAATACTGATATTTGAAACTTTAAGGTATAATTGATGTAGGTGAGGGTTATTTCAATTCATTTTGGTTTGCTAATCTCAAGTTTAGACATAAAGAGGCACAATATTTTGACTACCAAATTTGATTTTTAACATGTTGACAAAATTATTTCCCTACTGAGTCATACTCGTTAACTTAGGGTGAGGTAGTTGTGTTGGCGACAGCTTCTACACTTTAACAAATTCACGCCTAGGAGGCCCTTGGGCCCGCCATCTTCGATTTCGAGGGGCTTCCATTATTATGTGTGTGTGTGCTATATAATCCACTATGGATGTGGTAATCATTATTTTACTTGGACTGATGGATGACACGTAGGAGTGGATGTCGTCGCTCTATATGCGCCGGATGAATGTTGGAGGAGGTGACGGCGGGTAGCATGAATAAGCTGGTTTACATTCTACCTTACCTATCATGCCTATGGCGACTGTATCCTGCCTACTGTTCGTATCACGGTGATAGCATGCCAGGTTCGTATAATCTAGCATGGAATGGCGTACAAATAAAGAGATGAACATTTAATATACGATATAATGGACGTTACTAGTGAGCTTTGGGTATTACAAGTGGCTGGTACAGGTCGATGGTGATAGTATAGTCAGTAACCATAATAACTGGCCCATCTACAGGTCGAGCGTAGTGTGGGTAGAGGTCCTTGTGGACAGCGGCTCACTCAGTAGCAACTCACACACCAAC